CTGTTCAGAAGGACGAACGTCAAACCTGGTGGTCCGGGCTTGCCCACAGGGCAGATTAAACAACCTTCATGATTGAGCCTCACCGTTTCGTCGCCGTTTAGTCCGGGCTTGCCGGGTTCTCCAGGAGTGCCGGGAGTGCCGTCAATTCCATCTGTCCCTCGAATACCCGGAGCACCTCTTGGACAATAGTTCTCCATTTTGCAGTCTACAAACAGCGGCTATAAATTATATCATTACAGTGACTTTCATGCAATGTTTACTGCACGCCGGATTCACTTGTGATGACGACCCGATGCCAAAGAAATCGTTGTGGCTTCCCGACGAGGATCCGGAGTTACCGTAGCCGAAAGAGTTTCTCTTTCCTCGACTCAGTTGTTCCTTGTCCGCTGAGGAAACATACAAGGATTGGTAGAATTTTAGGCGAAGGTCGCCGATGTCGTTCGAAACGTCCTGAGCGATTTCCTAAAAATTTGATTGATGTGCTTCGTAGAGCATCAACGTAATTCTGGTCATAAGAGCAACGTACCCTGATGTCTTTCGTGTCCATAAGCAGATCCTGTCGAAGTCGCGTAACTGTCATGAAAAACAGAGGGACGATGGCGATACAGGCGGTCATCGCTACGGCAGTACCTCCGGTGGCCAGCAGTACCAGCGAATTTACTGCCATCGTCGCTATAAGTGATAGTTGAGGTAAGACGATCGAAATCGACAAATGCTTCACACTTTCCAACCGCGACTTAAATACCTATCCATCGAACTCCAGTCATTTACTGAAAGCTGACAACTGGTTTTTCTCGTTTTCGACTCTAGAATTCTGGAGCAGCGAGTTTCAGTTTGACGAGTCCACCCGAGCTTCCGGTTTTAAACAGAGGCCACCGAATAGCGGTTCAGGTACGCTTTTTGTACTGGGCCACCGAAAGTGTGGTGCGAACGAAAATTCGAACTCGGCCAAAGTAAAAGGAGACAAGGCCATGCGGGCTGTTCTTCCCTATTTGTTAGCCGGGCCATAAACGTACCATGACAGGCGATACGAATGTTAAGTACGAATAAGTTTGGCGAACCTGCGGAAGGTCCAACAAAATTTTATGAATCCCATCCTTCAATGAAATGGTGAAACCACGTACAGTGAGTAATGTGTTTGGGGCATGGGCAATCATTGCGAAATACAACATAAACATGATTTAAACATGCACAACGCAAAAGAGAGTTTCAGGATTGCGCCTGTTCGCAATATTTCGTTAATTTTCCCTCGTTCATGGATTATTCTGCCACAGTGGTCATCCCTAGCCAGAAGTAAAATTTCCCTTGCTCTTACAGCGATCTTTTACAATCCCGTAAGTGTACTACTGGACGTTCGCCGCCGTCCATCAGCAGTCAGTGAAGTGCGCTACGTACACAACAAATCGCATTTTCATACTAATTCAAATGACGACACATCTTTCATTTTCACTCCAGTGTTTATTCTGATTCTGCACTGGGGATGTGGTTAAACAAAGACTCACATGTTTCCTGCACTTTTCAATGACCGTCGGCACTACGGATGTGTAAAAGAGACAAGCTACTGTTGACCTGCTGTTGCTTTTCTTACCTTCATGTCCTTGACGAAGTCGAACTCGCACCAACATGCATTCATTCTTGTGCGACATTTCCTGTAACTTTTACTTACTCTACGGGCTCATGATTAATTTTATTTAAGTTATTATTTTCTGTTTCGTTATGTGACGCAATATATTAATATCA